GCCCTTTAAGTCGAAAAAAGGGCTTCGTCGTGTGGACGGGTACAGGGTTAAATCGATTTAACGCTGCTAAATTCGACCTCAACTCCTAGTGTAGACCAGGGCTTAGTAATTAACCACTGGAGCAATTTACCAAGGGTCGTGCTGGATTCTCCATCACTGGGAATTCATAGGACATAGGATCACCTCAGATTCCAAGGCTAGAAGAAACCATTGTGATCATCTAGTCTGATCTGTAGAGCACAGGCCAGAGACCTGCCCCATAATAATTCCTAGAGAATATCTAATTTAGTGGTGGGCTAGTTTTCTTTTATAATATGCCATTGAAATTGGTCCTGATGGGTGGTTTGGGCGTACAAAGAAAATTTTAAGAAATTGCACAATACAGGTAAAAGTTTCTTGCACAAGCATGGATCTTGAATATTTTGATTACTGACACACTGTAAACATAAGCATTTCTATTATCTTAAAAATTAATTAGCACTTGATTTATTCCTTGTTACTACAACACTCATCACTACATGGCATTTTGTGGTTATAGTGATTGTTTAACAATGTTTTGTGTTAAAACTGAAAAGTGTCATTTCAAAGTCTTTCTGCTCCAAGTTATCCCTTGGCAGTTTCAATTCTCTCTGGAGTTTTACTGGAAACCATTTCTGTTAATTACTTGAAATAATAGCTGCATGTGAGCTAGTTAGGGGTAATACCTTGTCTATACATGAGATTGCTTTAAGTAAGTTTTACTCTATGCTAAGGCAGCCTGGCTCATTGTTGCCCCCTATTGGCAAGACCAGGTATAGATGTTTCTGAGTTTGCTATTGTGTTACCAGATGTGCCCATTACTTTGGGGTATGCTCGTTTATTAGGGTTACTTTTCTGGGGGGATTCTGTAATTCTATCAATGTACTGCTTGTGTCACTTGTGTTTTCATATGGAGCTCTACTTTTCCCTTCTGCAAGTCCCCTCCAATGGTTCCCTAGGGCCGGATGAACGAACACACACTAACAGAGCAAGTCTGAATGGACCGGGTCAATCAGCACTTTCAAGCTGTCACCCTTATATGTCCCTGGGCTCAATAGGCTGGGCTGAGCAGCACTTTCAAGCTGCCACCCTCGTATGTCACAGGTTCAGCACATCCCTATCCCCACTTTCACGTTACAATTGTACTGGTAGTAACCCACTTGATGCGCAAATCCCACAGTATTTTTGGGCGCTACAGGGATCTTTAGCTTAGGTAAAAGAGAAGCGTTGCTGCAGAGTAAATGGGGGAAGCTAAAAACAGAAAAGAGTAAAGTTCAGAGAGAGAAAGGCAACCAGCTTAACCATAAAAGTTATTTATTGAATAATAGTGATAACTACACAAGGAGAGCCTAAACCAACATAAGTTTACACTATTAAAGGTTATTACCTGAGGTAGAAAAGAAAACAGAGGGAGGGATCTCACCACTCCCATGAAGCTTGAACTGGTCGGGTTTCCCAGGTGATGATGGTAGTTCAGGGTCCTGAAAACTGGAGACAGGCAGAGCCCCCATCACAATCTGTTAGGAGAAGATGGAGTCCCAGTGGAACTGATGCATAGTTTGGATCCAAGCAACAGAACACTTACTGGAGTGTAGGTAGGGTTTTTTGTAGGGAAATAACAATGGTTCAAGGGAGAACACTAGATTTGTTTATGGGTAAACTGATGACTCAAGGGTTTTCTTTAGGCTAGACAATAGGAGCTGATCACTCTTGGCTATGGGTGGTGGTTCTTCCAGGGAACTCACAATGCAATTAGGCTGCTTCAGTATTTTGGATATCAGTCAAGGATTTATTACTAGAATTGGTCTAACTGAGCTGGGTGTATGCAGGTGTAGGTTTCATTAACTTTGGAGCAGAGATCCCCCATGATACAGTGCTTCCCTGCTTTTCTGGTCCCAGACTTCAGTGAGGTTCTTGCCTTGGAATCTCTGTTCTCCATTCTGTATGCTAATGGAGATGCCTCCTTGTCCCATCTTTGATGCAGATGAGGCTAGAGGAGTTGCCTTAATCTTGTCACCCTTGTCAGGAGGGGTCTAGGTGTGTCTTTCACTGCTCTCTGCAAGTCTTTTCTCTGATTGGTTTTGGTTCAAGCAGAGGCTTGGGAGGGGGGTGTCTTTCATGAGTCAGGCTGGATACTGCACCCTGGTTCCCCAAGAACACAGAGCTGACTGATATTGTCTCTGAGCTAATAGACCTATTGTTCATTTGTTTGTTTTAAGTGCAACCAGTAGAGGCTCATGCTTTCAGATCCAGAGGTTCCTGGGCTCAACCCAGCAGATGACCCAGCCAGGACCAACTGTGTGTGTGTGTGTGTGTGTGTGTGAGGGAGGGGGGGAGGGCAGGGCAGAGACCAGGCCTCAAGGGGCAGAAGAGTGGCTCTCTCAGGCACTCCTGGCAGTGCCTGGCAAAGCAGGAATCACACTGGGATGGTTTAGCATTGCTTTTCAGTTGGTCATTCATTGACTCTTAACAGGAAGAGGTGATTCGACCACAGTGTAGAATTCTCAGCCTTTTGGCTAAGATCAAGTGTAAGTAGTCTCTTGGCCTATCTAAGGCTGTGATCAAGTGTCTTGATGTTTTTGGTCTTTTGGCCTCAAGATGAAAACCTTGTCTGTGTCCTTTAGACCTTGAAGTGAAAAAATAATCTAAGTATCTACATGGGGAGGAGGTTGCTGAGAGCAGAGAGCTCTTCAATCTAGCAGGCAAAGGCAGAAAAGGAGCCAATGGCTGGAAGCTGAAGAAATTTAGATTGTAACTAAGGGGCATATCTTTAACAGTGTGAGTAAGTAACCACTGGAACAAGTCACCTAGGGATGGGAAGGATTCCCCATCACTTGGAGTCTCTGCATCAAGCCTGGGTGTTCGGGCTGTGCTAGACAGTGAAGTTCTGGGCTGGGTGCAGGAATCACTGGGTGTAAATTGCTGGTCTGTGCTGTGCAGGAGGTCAGACTAGATGATCTACTGGTCCCTGCTGGCCCTAACATATGTGACACTCTGCACCCCAGGTAGGAAGCTCCTCCGTCTTGTGCCCACAGCTGGAATCTCATGCACTGACACTCCACACTGGGATTGCACATAGCAAATGAACAGCACCTCTAAGCAGTGCCTTTTTGCTTTGAAATCTGCTTTAGCATTGTTAACTGGAGGAGGGCTCCTGCTGCTCCTGTTCCACCAGGCCACTTCCACTACTGTGACCCAGGGACCTCTTGATGTCAATTGGCAGAGGAGACAGGGATGAATCAGGGTCACAGGGATCCCATGGGTCTGGCATTTACACATTAGTTCACCGAAGAGTGTCAGGTAAGGAAGTTTCTGCTGAAAGCCTGTGTCGCACTGGTCACCCTCATTGCAAAATGTATGTGAGGATAATATGTACAGCGATGTGTGTACATATATGGAACATTATGGTCTTAAAGCCTGGTAGTTAAGGCAGGCCACCCAGAGGTACAGACCTTGAGATAAGTTCCATCAGACAGCAGGTGGGAGGCAGGTATCTCCCCGCTTTCCATTGCCTATTGAGTCTTACTATAGGAATTGATTAGCATTGAGTCAAATGCTATTGTGGGGATGTCAGGAGAAGAAATGTACAGGAAGAGGGGGGATGGGGGGAGTGGGAGACCCTCATTACAGGTGAACAACAAAGGATTGGTCTAATATATCTAGGGGTGCAGAGAGACACATGCACATTCTTCTCCTGGGGAGACACTGCCAGCCAGTTTGGTCTTCTGAAAGGAAGTTCTGACTCTCAGCTAGCCTGGGTGCAAATCACTGGTAGGACTAAGGCAGAGCAGTACCTTGTTAGACAAGATGGCATCTCGTTACTTTATGCTCTAGAATGTGTGCTATGCTTTGGTATGTAAACCTTTGTTTCCAATAGCTCTGCCTGTTGTCATTTGAATCTCTGGTCTTTGCTAGTAGATATATGCTTGCTTTCTCTGGAACCCAGCCTAAGTGCTGTGGGTTGAGCACAGTGGTAATCCAAGCTAGAGCAGGTAAGCTGGGGTACACTTTTCCTTTGGGAGCAGCCAGTCTGTGTGAACTTCCAGTAGAGCAGGGCCTGGGAATTCCTGGGGATGCTCAGGGGTGGGGTGTGCCTATTGCTAGCCTGCAGAGGGCAGTGGAGCTCATGTGGGCTGAGAGGGGCAGGCTGGTGCCAGTGAGCTGACGCTGGCAGAGGCAGACAGGGCTTCCACATGTGAAGGGGAAGCAGTAGCAAGATGCCTCACAGGCCTGGGTATCCCAAGAAGCCTCCCACCCACCAAGCACTGATAGAAGACCCCACCCAGTCCCCAAGCATCCACCCTCTGAAGGAAGGGATTATAAAACAGGGGAGCTCCCCTCCTCCAGGGAAACATGGTCCTGCACCCCTACCAAGCCCCAGCTCTCTGTGCTAGGGAGATTTATAGGCATATCCCCTCTGCTAGCGCTGTCTCCTGGAGATGTGGAGTGCCCTGTTCTCCTCCACCAGGGGTGCACAGGGAATGGCTCCAGGCAGCATGGGAAGAGTTAAGCCCAACAGGGGGTTCTGGTTCATTCTTTATTCCCCTCGGAGCTGTGAGGCCACCCTGGAGTCCCTCTAGCCTTGTCTGTGCATCGCTGAGTGACTCCCTTGGGTTGGGGGCAGGATCCCTGCAGACCAAATTATCCCAACTGCTACTTCTGGACTTTGTGTTAAGGGGGGAGGTTTATGCAGCTAGATGCAGCGCCAGCACCTGGGGGATATTAACAAGGAGCTGCCTTTAATCCTTTCTCTCGTTCACATAAAACTCTACTACCTAAATGAACAAGCAGTAAAACACACCCTGAAACAATCTGCCTGAGTCTGTAAAGCCACTCACTGCTTTGGGATTGTTTCCTTCCTATGAATGGGTTTTGCTGTAAATTACAGCTCTGCACACATTCCCTTGGGCCGAGCGAGCCTCGTCAGAGAAGCCAGCTCTGATTGGTGTCTGGCTCCCCCAGCCCCTAATTGAAGCCAAATGTGCAAGATGTGGGATTGTGGGACGTTGGCTGGGGCCCAGGAATCCGCAGAATGCCCCGGCGCTCGGCGGCGTCTTGCATCAGCCGGCAGAAGTTCGCGCTCGGCCGGGAAAAGGAATCTGCGGCCCCACTCCGGCGCGTCTTGGGGTAAGTGCTGCGGGGCCGGGAGCCCAGCCGCCCAAGACTCCGGGCTGCCCCAGCGCGGCGGGGCGAGGGCAGAGCCCGCGAGCGAGCGGCCGGCCGGCGGGCCCCGAAGTTTTGGGACAAGTTGCGGGAGGTCGGGACGAGCCCCCTCCAAGGGAACGTTCTGCTGGGGGAACGGGGCGCTGCGGGCCGGGCCGGCTGGGGGCGGGATCCCCGCCCCGGCTCCAGCGCGTCCCCTGCCTGCCGCGTGCGGAAACTCCCCAAGGTCCCGCCGCGCCTCTACCCCCGCCTGGAGCGCGGACAGGGCACGGCCGCCCGCGAGCCGGGCTGTGTCCCCCGGGCCTAGTGGAGGGGAGCCCAGGGTACCCGGAGCCCCTCCAGGGGGGCAGCGGGGTTGCCGAGGCTAGCGGTGAGCGGGCTGCGTGGCCCTGCCCGCTCGGTGCCGAGCCGCGGCCCCAGATGCTCCGCGCAGCGCCGGGTAACGGGGCCGCTGGAGCCCCGCTCCCGCAGACGGCGAATTGTAGCCAGAACAGACTACAGCTCCCAGCACGCATCGGGCCAGCCCGCCACTGCAGACCACGGCGCCTGTGGCGCTGCTTTCCCGGGACTTGTGGTCTTCGGACCGCTCTGTCCTGTGGAAGTGTAACGCTGCTGCAAAAACCCAGGCCTCATTCTGGGCTACATTAGCAGGAGTGCTCTAAGCGAGACAGGGGCAGTAATTTGGCGGCTCTACTCCGGGCAGATATAGCATCAACTGCAGTACTATGTCCAGTCCTGGGCTCCTTATTTCAGGAAAGATGTGGACAAACTGGAGAGAGTCCAGAGAAGAGCAACAAAAATGATTAAAGGTCTAGACAACATGACCTATGAGGGATGACTGAAAAAATTGGGTTTGTTTCCTCTGGAGAAGAGAAGACTGAGAGGGGGCATGATAACAGTTTTCAAGTATGTAAAAGTTTGTTTACAAGGCAGAGGGAGAAAAATTGTTCTTGTTAACCTCTGAGGATAGGACAAGAAGCAATGGGTTTAAATTGCAGCAAGGGTGGTTTAGGTTGGACATTAGGAAAAATTTCATAACTGTCAAAGTGGTTGAACCCTGGAATAAATTGCCTAGGGAGGTTGTGGAATTGCTGTCATGGGAGATTTTTAAGAGCAGGTTAGACAAACACCTGTCAGGGATGGTCTGTATAATACTTAGTCTTACCCTGAGTGCAAGGGACTGGATTAGATGACCTCCCTTCAAGTCCTACACTTCTACGATGAATATCTTTGGGGCTCTACAGCCCCCAGCTCTGCCGTGTCTGAGGTCTCCATAGTGTTTAACAGGGCAAGCGCCTGGTCTATGGAGGAGCTGTGCCAGTCCTCAGCATGGCCTGTGAAACATTGGCTAGCCTGTTACTGTGAGCCTTTGTCACGGAGTCAGCCCTTGTCACTCCATACAAAGCCAGTCAGGACTCCGATAGGAGCATGCCTCCTCTGTCTGAGCATACTGTCTCCAGGGCAAGAAGCTTTGACCTTCCTGGGTCTGACCTCAGAGCATTCAGCATCCCCTTTCTCACAGAGCAGTTCCCGCATGAGTGTACCCGGGCGGGGCTCCTGGGGAAGCCGGAGGGCCCTGCAGCCCAACTCTGCAGTCAGACATGACTCCCAGCCAGCTGGCAGAACAGAAGTTTCAGTAGTCAGGCACACAGCACAGGACAGAGCCCACCGGGACAGAAACCAGTGACTTCCAGCCAAGTCTATCTTGGGGAAGGGAAACCAGAGCCAGGGCTCTGGTCCTTCCCCTGTGCCCCAAGCCAGCTGAGAGTGACTTGCTTCCAGCTATCTGGCCCCACCCTGCTTATTGCTCCTCCTCTGGCCTTTGTCTCGCTTCCTGGGCCAAGTGTCACCTGGTCACATCCCCCTTCTGGATTTTGGGTTATGAAAGGGCAACTATAGCATCGGTGCAGGCAGCTGGAGCAACCCCTGCAAAAGTCACACACCCTTATTCCCACCACCTGACATTGGTGCAATACACAGGGAAACTGAGGCACACACCGCACCCATACAAAACAGGAAGACTCATATAGGCTCACATACAGTGTAACAAAGGAAAATCCCCACTTCGTCACATCTCTCTCCCCTTTGAGACTGAACTGAGTGGGGTCACTTTCAGGCCTCCCTCTCCGGGACAAAGAATCAGCTATAACATTTGCAGTCCCCTTAACATGGACCACCTCTATCTCATAATCCTGGAAGGACAGACTCCACCTCTGGAGCTTCGCATTGGCCCCTCTCATCTGGTGCAGCCATGGCAGGGTGAGTGGTCCGTGTACACAGTGATGGTCTTGAGCTTCCGATAGGCCACATGGAATCGGATCGATCCATCTTTCCTGGGGACCAGCACCACAGGAGAGGCCCCCAGAGCTGGTGGATGGCTGAATCACCCCTAAAGCCAGCATGTCTCTGACCTCTCCCTCCAGGGCCTGTGCTGTGTTCCCCATTACTCTGAATGGGGAACACCTGAGGGAAGGCCAGCTCCTATCTCCACCCAGTGGACAGCTCAGTTAGTGAGCCTAGGGCGGTTGGAAAACCGCTGTTGGTACAAATGTACAAATAGATAAGCTATTACCAGCAGGAGAGTGGGGTGGGGGGAGGTATTTTTTCATGCTTTGTGTGTATAAAAAGATCTTCTACACTTTCCACAGTATGCATCCGATGAAGTGAGCTGTAGCTCACAAAAGCTTATGCTCAAATAAATTGGTTAGTCTCTAAGGTGCCACAAGTACTCCTTTTCTTTTTGGTACAAATGCAGCGTCTCTCTGATCTCTGCCTGCTGGGCAGGGGTTAGCTGGTCAGAGAGTGAAACTGATTCCAGCAAGGGGCCGGCTCCGGTCTCAGGGAAAAGACCCACCGGGGGTCTTCCCCCTTCTCCCACTGGCCACACATGGCCAGTACCAGCCTCTCCCTGTCACAGTATGGCTTCATCATGTTGACTTGGTCCCCTCAGTGGCTGTGAGCCTGGTTGGGCAGTTCCACCACATCGTTCTCCTCATTCAGCTGCTTGATGACCTTGAAGGGCCCATCCCAGGCAGCTTTCAGCTTATTCTTCCTTTCCAGGATGAAAACCCTCACCTGGTCCCTGGTGCCATAGGCTGAGTGGTCATACCAGACTTTCTGCCTCCCTTGGGCCCTGGCTAGGTTCTCCCTGGCAGGACCCATGAGCTCAGTGACCTTTGCCCGGAAAGTCAGTACATACTCCACCACTGAATCTCCATTGCGGGAGGCCTTCCCCCCCCTTCGTCCCTCACCAAGTCCAGGGCCACCTTCTGAAAAGGCTCCTCTATGACAAGGCTGCCTTATCCTTGTCCCAGGCCATTTGCACCTGTGGACAAGACAGCCCTGGTTGGTAGCTGTCCACCCGGGTGTGGTTGCCCACACGAAGCTGGGGTCTCCGATCCCCTTAGGCTCAGCTTTGCCCCTGCTGTCCCAGTGAGGGCCGGCAGCAAGCCTGCTGCTTTGCTCACAGAATCAGAGCCAGCATGAGCCATCTCCCCTGTGTGCAGGGGGGCAGGGACCATCTCTCTGTCTCATTTAGCTCCAGGGCTCTGTTTACAGACAGGCAGGTATCCTGAGCCTAGAAGCGCCTTCCTCCTGCCAGCCAGGTCATTTGCATTTTCACTGACCACTTCAGTCTCAGCCGATTGGTTTCCTGGATTCAAATCCTTGGCTGTTACAGGAGCAGGGCCTGGATCCTGACCCAAATAGACAGTCATTCCCCAACAGGAGGTCACTGCCGATATCTTGGAGAACCCCAACTACCAGCCAGTCTGACCCCTCCTGTGTCTGCACAGGGATCTGGGCCATAGGCAGGGCGAGGGCCTTCATCCCTGGGCCCTTCACCCAGGTCACACAGCCCCTCAGCATCTGGTGAGGCTGCACCACCCAGGGCCTGACAACAGTTTTCTCTGTCCCAGGGTCTCTCCACCCCAGAAATGTCTCCCCATTGACCACCACCTTCCACTTCCACTGGGGGGTCCAAGGGTCCTGAGCCCAGGAGAGTACATATATGCTGGGCACAGGAGTGAGAGCCAGTCTGCCATCCTGCCTATCTGGCTAAAGAGCTCTATGGCCTTGGGACCCAGGAAGGGGGCTAGACACCAAAGCCTTTCCGCAGGTCCAGCCTCTTTCCAATTGCCAACCTTCGCAAAGGCTGCGAGACGGGCATCTATATCTCCCTTCTCCTTAACCTGGGGCAGCAATTTAGGGTTGAGGTTCCCTGCAGAATTGGCACCCCGGAGTCCATCCCCAGTCACCTCTGGATAGGTCCCTCTGCCTCTCAGCTCTGCCATCTCCAGTTCCTGCTGCCTCTTTCTCCTGCTGTTCTACTTCATGCCTTCCCTGTCTCTCATGGTCCTCTGACTCCTTCAAACTCAGCTCCAATTCCATCTGTCTCAGATCCACTGACTGGGAACTTGGTGGAGACCCCCTGCCGGTCAGGGACACGGGTCTCCGGGACACCTGGCTGCTCCCAGCCTGGTTTGTGGCCCCAGATGGGTCAGGAACTGGTGCGGGCCTGGGGCTGCCTAGCTGCTCCCAGCCTCTCTCCCGCCCCAAGCTGGGTAAGGAACCGGCTCCTTAGAGCGATCCTCCTCTTCCAACTAAGCAATCAGCTGTGCCTTAGTGAGCTTTCCAATGCGCAGCCGTCTTTCTCTGCACAGCTCCACAATGTCCTTCTTAAGGAGATGGTGATAGGCCATCTCCATGCTGTTCCCAAGTGGTCACAGACTCTCAGGCCTGTGTTCTCTCAGCTCCCTGTGAGGAACCCCTTCAGTGTGACAGCCCTTTTCGGGGGCCCACCTCTCAGGGTTAATCCGTAGGCTCCTCCTAGAACCACACCTCTCGTTGCCTCCAGCACATCTGGCTCTCACCGTCACACCTCTTTGTTTTACTGCTCCCCAGTCACTTACTGCAGGATGCTCTGTCTGTAGGGTGTAGTTTATTCCACCTTTGCCACCAGTTTT